TTTTTTAATTTTTATAGAAATGTACAATGTAGTTAGAAAATATAATTTTTTTAAGGTTTTTTGGTTGTTTTTTTTTTAACCTCTAAATGATTTGGTATTTTCTTTAACTCTATCTAAATAATTATGCTCTCTTATTTAAACTATGGGGGCTCTGGCTGGCACAAATGGCTAGGTACTCTAATTTGTTGTTGCTGAGTGCCATGGATTCGGTTCCAGTTAGTAGGCTTGAACTGCCGACCTTGGGGTTAGGAGTCCAGTGCTAATCCTATATTACCACACCAGTACTCAACTACTAACTGCAAGGTTGCCTATTTCAACCCACCCAGAGGCACCTAAGGATCACAACCTTGAAAATACTATGGAGCAATTCCACTCTGTGTTGAGTTGAAATCAACTCATTAGCAATAGATCTGAATTTTTCCTTTTTGATTATTCAAAACATAAGTGTATACTTTAAAATACTTTTCTGGTAAAATGTTTTTATCATTTTAAAATATTTTACATATTTGATAAGATATTGATCACATGAAGAACTAGTAAAACCCAGTCTTGAATTTTTTGTGTGTATGTTCGGTCATAATGTTCTATTTGTGGACTATTTGTACCATGTTGTTAATCCCAGACTGGCACAGGAAGTCCTGTCCATCTCCCATAGCCCACTGCCATTTCATTATTAGCTTCAGCAAACACATAACTAGAAAGGTAAATAGCCTGAAAATATAAAACCAGAGATGACATTCTAAAAACTACATGTAAATAATGTTTCTCAGTACTAGATGAGCTTGACACATGGCTGATATTTAGAAGCTGCTTGTTGACGGATTGAATGACTGTTCCCCTCCATTAGTCTAGATAATTAAGAGTTGACTTTCTCTTAAGTGTATTTGAAAATAGTTAAATACCAGTAACTTCAGAGATTCTATTAACCTTCGAGGATTTTCAGCCACTCCTGGAATTTTCATCCAGTATGCTCACATTTACTGCTGTCAGTCATCACATCTCAATGTCACAAAGCTTGGAAGGCTATGCATATGAGCCAAAACAGCTCAATGGGCTGCATATCCAGATGCTAATATATTTCCCTTGCTGTTTCCAGATTTCTTCTACAAATGGCCTAATTTCCTCCAGGCATCTGCTCCACAGACCAGTGCCACCATTAAATACTAGCCAACCCATGTACAAAGTTCTGACAACATATGGAGCTCTTTCATATGGTGCATTCTAGTCATGTGATTCTTTCCACATCTCTTTATGAAAGACCAGGTAGTTGTTTTAAGTTTTGGTTTTGTTCTTTATCTCCACTTTACAGATAAGTTAAAAGTCTCTGGGTTAAAGAAATGGTTAAGTGCTTAACAACTTGCAAAAAAAATTGGCAGTACAAACCTCCCCAGATGTACCTCAAAAGACAGACCTGATGAACTGCTTCTGAAAGGTCATACCTGTGAACACCTTATGGAGCAGTTGTTCTCTGTACACATGGGATCACCACGAGTGACTAGATATCAACTAAGTATAACAGATAAGCTAATTAAAGTTCTAAAAATTGGGGTTCCTAGAATCATATAATTAGCTAACAGTAAAGTTGTAGCAAGAATGAGCTTAACTAACTTCTATTTTCATGTTTATTCAAATGAGCAATGTACAAAATCTGGTCTAATTCTACTTCATTTTAGTATTTAAACCTTGACTGTATATTGGCCTAGTTTTCTGATGGTTAAGAGATTCCCTTCTAGTGTTCTCAGTTTCACTCAGCTGTATGATTGTCAGAGACTATGTGAGCAAGCTTTTCCATGTTGACCTTAATTTCCCTGAGGATTGGTAACCCATGAATTGAGTAGAAAGAAAAATGGATATCAAAGATGTGAAATATGGTTATTAAAAAGGTAACCGCTAAAGAAATGGGGACCTACAGAGAGAAGAATATAAGAATAAGTCAAAAAGTATTGTTATAGAATCAAGGAAACTTTTATTTTAAATGAAAATGTCAAAATGTGAAGTTATTGTTTCTCGACACATCCTCCACCTAGGTCTCTACACTTCTAAAGGCAGTGTCTCCATCTCTTTAACCCTTCCCTGAAAAATTCTGTACTCTTCGATTTATACCTTATCAAACAGCAGTTTTGACATTCTCCATAGACTCTAATCATATTTATTTTCAATGTTCTTTGAGTTTGGGGATCAAAAAGATGTCTGAAGGGGAAAGATTAGGACTTTAGGGTAGATGAGGTAAGGTTTCCCAAGGTAACCCTTGCTACCCTTCAAAACTGAGCACATGTAGTGTCATGATGGAAAAAAAAAAAAAAATCCCTCAGCACAACTTTCCTCGTCTTTTTCCACCAATGCAGTTTTCCATTTTCTTAAAATTACTTCATAAGCCCCAATGAAATTCCTGTGCTCTTGGAGAAAATCTATCAAGAATACTCCTTGGAATCCCCAAAAACATTTGCCTTGAATTTAACTGGTTCTGCAGACCCTCTTGAAGATCACTGTTTTGATTGGATCCCTTTATTGAAGGCACCTTAAGGAGTGCTGGTGTGGTGTAGGATAAGTACAAGACTTCAGTCAGTTTGAACCACAAGGTTGATGGTTCAAACTCATCAGTTGCTCCTTGGAACTTCTATTCTAGGTGGCTATTAATTGGAACCAACTCAATGGCACTTAACAACAACAACAACAAAGGATACTAAGATAAGTGTATTATTGAGAAAATTTGTCTGCAGACATCCACTGATTACACAGATATGTTTAAATATATTTTGATTGGAATAAATCCATGCATGTATGAATAGAAGAAGTACTTTTTTACTTACCATCTTGTAAAAATTGTTGAGAAACTCAGAAATTGGAATAATTCATTTGTTTTTTGGGAAAGATAAATTGAAGATAATCTCAAGATTTAGGATGTGGAAAACTAGTACATAACCAGGTATATAGCAGATTTGGCATGAAGGTGAAGAATAGAAAAGTATAAATATGCCTCAAGAGACACTTGAAAATGCAGTCAAATGTCATAATCCAAGCACAGGATTTGCTGTGGTCTTAGAAATAACAGGGAAGATGCTATAGACTTTCTCTTTTCTTGTTCACCATTTTCATTGACTTCCTTTTTACAGCCCAAAAATATAAGAATAGAAGTGCATAAATCAAGAGAAGACTATAATTTATATATATATATTTTAAATCATTAGAACAGGTTTTTCTTCAATTTCTAAGAGTTTGAATCCTAGGCCAGCATCAAGGTGAATATTTTAGGTTATTGTGTTCAAAATGTTTATCATTGCATTCAGCAGTTTTCTTTCACTGATTTTCTTTCCTCTCGTTGATCTCTGGAGATGACTTTATCCTAAACTGAAGAAAACAACTTATGAAAAATTACCCAAAAGACAGACAATATTTGTTTCATATGATAGCCTCTATGCCTAATAAATGGGAAATTTGATTCACTGATGTTTAGAAAGAAGTGTTAGATTAAAATGTTTGTTTATTCCACATGTGGGCTAGCAAGAATGTTCTTCTCTGTTACTGATATGTTGAGATCCAAAGCATTTTTACAAATAAAAGCCTTTTCTACAGAGCTATCGTAAAACCCATTTAAAAAAATAACCACTGGAGGCACAAGAGATGCAAAATTTTACTTGTCAGTATACCTCACTACTGAAAAGTGCTAATCTACTTTTTAAAATCTTGCTTGGTGTTTTTAATCATAAAGAAAAGAATAAATGTGAAAATGGCGTGTTGTTGTTCAGTCAGTTCTGACTCATAGTTCTGACTCAGAACTATGAGTCAGTTCTGACGCATAGCGACCCTGTATAACGTTTTCAAGAAGTGACTGGTAGATTTGAACCACCAACTTTATGGTTAACAGCCCAGTGCTTATCCTACAGTGCCATACAAGGACTCCAAAATGTCATAGAGTTAGCCAAATTCAGCCTCAGGAAGGGAAATCCATTTGAGAATCCATTTATTATAATCTATACCTTGCAACTTAATGTTGATGATTATGTAGTATGATAAATAAAGGTAATATTTCAAATATTCTTTGTGTATTAGACAAAAATATTTTGGATGAAACATTGAAGTTTTATGTGTGTTTTGAAATGGTCTCTTTTTTATAGAATAATTTTTAGATAATTTCAAGAGATCAGATATGACACTTAATCACACATTTCTACCAACTCACCAATAGTTTTCTGAGGAGGTGAGATGAATGAACATAATAATAATACTGTGTGTCAAATTAAATTCTGTACCATATGTGCTACAGTTGAACCAACTCATCCCAATCCTGGTTTTTATAGGAATTTGGTCACTGTACACTTTTTCACCTCCCAGTCTTCTGCTAAAATAAGGATGTTGGAATAAGAGTTAATCTGGTTTACTGACTAAACTTTTACTAGAGAGTTTCATCTGCTTCACTGTTTACCATGGCGGTCTCCAAATATTAATTCAACCCAGATATATGCTTTATGACCCTGAACTCCCAATGTATGTGGCATCTCTGTGATTCCTCAGGAACCTGTGTTGTTAAGTATCGTTGTAAAATTGAACAATTTTTAAACTATCGCTGTGAGTAGCTACTTAAGAATTGGAAACAAAATTCATGAACTTTTAAAAAGCCTAGTATTCTGATTAGCACAATTATTATACATCCAGTTGTGTTGTAAGTAAATAAAACTAATGAGGGAAATAAGTTTTTCTTTAAAATCTAGAAGCAATTCAAACTAATTTTTTAAATTATATTTACCCTATTTAAAATTAAGTAAGGAACTTAATAGTTCATAGCAAATACTTTAAATGGCCTCCTGTTTTCTAGCATAATCTGTTTTCTTGATCTCAGCCCTTTAAACCCAGCTGTAACTGGGAGTTAACATTGTAGCATATGATAAGCAGTATTTGACATGCAGTTAACTTGCTATCCGCGCTGTTGCAACTAAACTTCAAGTTCTAGCCATTTTTTTCTTTTCTTTTCTTTTTTGTCTTTTTTTTTATTTTCTTTGCAGAAGACCATCAAATGAATTGTCACAATACTCGAATAATGCAAGACACAGAAAAGGATGATAACAATAATGATGAATATGATAATTATGATGAACTGGTGGCCAAATCATTGTTAAATCTTGGCAAAATAGCTGAGGATGCAGCATACCGGGCCAGGACTGAGTCAGAAATGAACAGCAATACCTCCAACAGTCTGGAAGATGATAGTGACAAAAATGAGAACCTGGGTCGGAAAAGCGAGTTAAGTTTAGACTTAGATAGTGATGTTGTTAGAGAAACAGTGGACTCCCTTAAATTATTAGCCCAAGGACATGGTGTTGTGCTTTCAGAAAACATTAATGACAGAAATTATGCAGATAGCATGTCACAACAGGATAATAGAAATATGAATTATGTAATGTTAGGGAAACCCATGAACAATGGACTCATGGAAAAAATGGTGGAGGAGAGTGATGAGGAGGTGTGTCTAAGCAGTTTGGAGTGTTTGAGGAATCAATGCTTTGATCTGGCCAGGAAGCTCAGTGAGACAAACCCACAGGAGAGAAACCAACAGCAAAACATGAACATCCGTCAGCATGTCAGGCAAGAAGACGACTTCCCAGGAAGAACGCCCGATAGGAACTACTCTGACATGATGAACTTAATGCGACTTGAAGAACAATTGAGTCCCAGATCTAGAACTTTTTCTAGTTGTGCAAAGGAGGACGGGTGCCATGAAAGAGACGACGATACCACCTCCGTTAACTCCGACAGGTCTGAAGAAGTCTTTGATATGACCAAGGGTAATTTAACACTTCTCGAGAAAGCGATTGCTTTGGAAACGGAAAGAGCCAAGGCCATGAGGGAAAAAATGGCAATGGAAGCTGGAAGGAGGGATAATATGAGATCATATGAGGAGCAGTCTCCAAGACAACTTTCCGGGGAGGAGAGAAAGCCTAAATCCAGTGACAGCCATGTCAAAAAGCCATACTATGGTAAAGGTAATATTTCTACCTAACGTAAGTTGACTCATGTAATCATGAGCTAGGGTAAAATATGTTGATCACAGTCTACAGTGTGGGAATTATACTAAATTATATCTCTAAAGTTTACTTTTCAAAGGTGATTCCAGAATTATATTTTGTGATTCTGTTTCTAAAGAGCAAATAAAGTATTTTTCTGAAAAAAATGCATAAAGCAGCTCAATGTCATGTTATTAGAGCAGATGAATAATGTAATACTTCATTGGGAAGATGCATTTTTTGGGTAGATAGGATTAAAACACAAACACACCATGCGATAGGAAATATTAAGATAAGCCTTTGCTGTTACAAAAGCATCACTATTTATATTGAGTGGCAAGAGCTTATGTAACAATTAGTTCATCAGGAATGAAGCACATATTTTCTAAATTGGATTAGGTATGTGGCATCATGATTTATAAAATTATCATCAAATGACAGTTATTGATGAAACCTCCACATAGAAAACATTTCTGATAGAAATTGAATAGCAACAGAATGACTGATAACATAAGATTAGGGCAGTGACTGCACATTAATTATCTTAAGATAGTAAGGTAATGAAAAGCATTTGCTATGCAAGGCATGGTATGGTCCAGGTTAAGATCAATAGCAATTTCTTTAGTATGTTCATTCCCCCTCATTGATTCCATTATGAAAACAGTTATGGTAATTTTCTCAAATGTAATTTATTATAAAATACTCAAAACCACCCAATATGATATTTAAACACATTTTCACTTATGAAATATGTGGCACTTATTTGTATATTTCTATATTAATGTATATATACATCTGTATGTATATATATATGTGTGTGTGTGTATGTGTGTACCCAACCTCAATGATTGCAATGAAGACAATGTCCACTGTCAATATGATACAGATTAAAATTTAACATCCTTCAGACCCTGGACATTGTAGATATCTCAACTGCAAGGTTATTTTAGTATAAAGTAAGAAGCAGTTTGAAAGTGTGAAATCGATGATTCTTAGACTTCTCTGTATTATTATTGAGAACATTTTATTGTTTTTCATTTTATTCTACTTATTATGAATACGGCATTTCCTCCCTGTGGATCTGATGATGAGGATCAGGAATGTGGTTTGAAAATCAGTTGCTGTAAAAATTTCAAACTATTAGAAAAATTGTTTTTGTTTTTGTTTTACTATTATGACATAGGTGTGTATTCTCCTCTCAATGTGTGCACATATGTTCTATGATAAGTTGGACATTACTACAACTGAAATCCTGATTGGATACAAACAGCCAAAAGCTTATTGGGTTCTTGATTTAGCAAGTACTTGAGCACTAACAGTTGCTTCAGTAATGAGGTGAAGACTAGACCTCTTTGAGTGTGGCATTGAATGAAAGGGGTCATTTTTTTCAAAGGAAAGAGTCTTTAGTGTACTAAAATATCAGAGTTTGAAAAGAGTTTTAAAGATTATGAAACATAATGTTTAAAACTTTAGGACAATTATTTTCAATATTTTCTAATGCTATCTATTAGAAAACCGTAACTGTATCTTACATAAACTAAACATTTTAGGAAGGAATTATTTTATTTCTTTAGGCTCAATTGGATGAATGTATTTTAGGAGAAGGTTTTAGAATTCTGTATTCTGGGTTTTATGCTGGAGTTCTGATTTTAAGAAGTTCAGGGATGTACAAAGTGGACAGATTTGGGATTGTATAATTTTTGTTGCTATGGTTTCTTTGGCTTATCTTGTCCCTTTAAACTCAGCAGCTTTATGGAGATTTTTACTTTTTTTTTTTTTTTTTTTTCAAGTAATGAAATTTCATCCATTTTTTTCCCCTAAGTAAGTAGAGGTAAGGCTGGAAATGAACAGTTAAAAACTTAGATGTGCTTTCCCCTTGAAATCAGAAAAGGGTGGGGATTTGAATTTTCCAAATGAGTTGGAAAGCATTGATTTCTTCAACTCTCCAGATTTTCCAGGTCTTCCTTTCACCAAAATTCATTTCAGTTTTGTATCAGTGTTTTCCACATTGTCCCCAAGTTTCTTTGACCATATCAATAGCTATGTTTATAACCAAATAAATATGGCCATATAAGGTCACCCTGGTGGGGAAAAGATAATAATGTCCTTTAAAAAATTATGTGCTAATAATTTTACCAACACAGCTAAAGTACAAGTCCTATAACAACACAGCATATCTACAGTCTCAATTTACAACTCTGTTACTTTATTAAAGATGGGAAGAACACTTGTACCAATTCTCATTCACACACAGTATACTCACATTGATTTGAAATTATGAATAAGTAACTGCTACAAAAAGGAAGTGAATAATAAAATTGCTCTATTTTTTTGTATATTCAGTTGTCTACTCTAAAATGAATAAAGGGGGAAGCAAGTTCATCTAACATGCAATTTTCTTTTTCTATCAATCTTCAAAAGGTTTTCAGTTGACTTGTTGGTCTGCTTGCTTGCTTGGTTGTTCTGTATTTGCTCATATGTCTGTTTTTAAAATGTACTGAGATTACAAGAAATAAGAAGTTGAGAGGAGGTAACAGTGATGGTAGGAGCATGGTGGTACACTGATTAAGTACTTGGTTGCTAACCAAAAGTCAGTAGTTTGAACCCACTGACCACTCTGTGGGAGCAAACGTTGGCAGTCTGTTTCCATAGGGATTTACAGCTTTGGAAATCCACTGAGGCAGTTCTACTCTGTCTTATAGTGTTGCTATGAGTTGGCATTGACTTAAAGACAGTGGATGTTAATAGGCAATGGTGATGACAAACTATATCCACCTCGATAGGGTTTGATGCATCGAGAGGAGATTATACTCTTGTCTTCCAAAATCTGAAAAATTTGGAGCCACATTGTTTTTATACAGATCTGATTTTAATTTTACAATGCTTTTAAAATCTTTCAGATAATATAATTTGTTAAAAATTGTAAGTGAGCTGATGAAAAATGATTCATTCAATAATTCATATTAACTGTCATTTACTTATCATTTGAAAGATTTTTGCATCTAGTTAAAACCCTATCTCTAGTATATGATTTTAAATATTCCTTGTTTTCCATTGATTGTTATTGTGCCCTTAAAAGTTTATATTTATACTAACTAAACTATATCAACAGTATAAAATTACTCAAAAGACAATAAAATGCTTTTTAGTTTGTATGTGTAAGAGGAGGGTCAAAAAGGTATTTCAGGTTTGAGGTCACAATATTACAACTTTAAATTTGTTCTCAGAGGCTACTGTATATAAACAGTTGTAGTAAAGTAGATGACAAGTCTACAAAGGAAATTTTCATCAAAACAGAACTGGTGTAGAAAATTCTAATACCTAAAAGAATCATTCACAAGAAAAATTCATAGCTTAAAAAATGATGAAGAGCTTTTTATATAAACATGTAAGCATTTATATATGGCTGTGATTCCTTTCTAATTTCAAGTTACCATGAATAGCTTAAGAAAAATGTCCACGAGTTACAGAAAAGTTAAACTAAGCTTTTTTATTGATGTGAATTGAATTCTCAATCAAACGTAAAACATGTTTTTTTAAGTCATAATTGATTAATGGGAGACTGATTTTAGAAATGCCTAAAGAAATTTAGCTATAGCATTCCCTGGATAAAATCTTAATAGCCATACTATAAGAAATGTCTATTGGTGATTTTAGTAACTGGTTTTCAAAAACTGGTTCAAAATACAGTGTTTTGCACACTTGTATTTGCTATTTTCTGTGAGCTTTATCTTAAAAAAATATTTCCCAATGATTCTACTGCTCGTTTATAAACTATGAAAATTTGGGGTATAAAAATTATTTTATTAGTGATATAACAACATTTCTGGCATCTTACATTAAATTTTTGACAAAACGTCTGCTCTAATCCTTCCATTGACTGGTATTGCAGAGAAGCCAACAGGGCTCTAGAAAACCATTACTTCTTAATTTTGTGTATGCATGCACAGCATTATAAAAGCCTTCCTCTGGTCTCCCAAGTACAGATGAAGAAATCAAAACAAATGATTGCTCCAGCGGCTTCTGAAACATTTTTGATTGCTCATCATCTCTCTCAGGTGGGATTTCCACCATTTTGATCATTTGCTTACAGTGCCTTCTGAGAGTTCATTTTATTTCCAGAAAAGCGATGAATTAGTACTCTAAGGAACCGTGTTGCTTAACCTCAAGAGAGTAAATTCCAATACCAGTAAAAAATTGCAGCTTATAATGTAAATGATCAGAGCACTCAAGAAATTCAGCTAGGGAGTTTTGGAATGGTATATACGCTCTGGATGAATTTCACAGATAAATTTATGAATGACAATGGTATAGTTTTGTTCTCTAAGAAGGTCACTGTCTCATCACTATTATGTTGATTTCTTTGAGCAATGCAGCTTATCATGTAACACACGGGAAAATAATTAATGAAGAGTTAAGTTTAGGAACATTCCTTTTCTCCTGTTGGATGGAAACGAAAATATTTTATAATTCTTGATTAAACTGTATAAGGTCAAAAAATCACCCCAAACCAAAGAACTACTTAAGTAAAAGTCTGATGTCACAACCTGTCCCCTGACACCTGCTTTATTTCTTTATTTAGCAAAGGTTTCTTCCAATTGTTAAATAATCACATTTGTCTTCAGTTGGTAAACGTTCATTCTCTTGACACCTGTTGTCGCTTTTAGATCCCTCAAGAACAGAAAAGAAAGAGAGCAAGTGTCCAACCCCTGGGTGTGATGGAACTGGCCACGTAACTGGGCTTTATCCTCATCATCGCAGTTTATCCGGATGCCCGCACAAAGATAAGGTCCCTCCAGAAAGTAAGTCCATGCTTCACCACTACCCTTGGGAATTCAAACATCTACAAATTTGTTTATATCATCCCTCTTACCTTTTGTCATTTCCATCTTATGGTTCAATGTGACCTAATATAACTAGGCCCCAAATTTTTTAAATGAACAATTCATTCAGGATTAGCTGGGGCCAAAGTGATCTTAACCACCTTCTCCAGCATGCAGTGTTTTCCTCTGACTCATTTTCCTGCTAGATCAACCCTACTGTATCAACTTCCTCTGAAGGATAGCTCCCTGCAATATGACTTCCTTTTAGAAAGGCCGGGATTATAGTAAATTCTTACCTGCTGTGACCTCAGATAAGTAATTTCTCTACATCTCCTCTAATATATTATAGAATTGAAATCAACATTCTCCAAAATATCCCTTCCAGCATTTATACTATTAATCCTTGAAGAAAAGGGTCTTGAGACATGACTTGTGCAATTAGCCAGACTTCTATATGTCATCCAAATCAACATTTATATAGAAGGCTTTATTGCATGAAACATCATGTCCTAGTTGTCCCCAAAAAACTTATACTATAAAATCCTTAATAAGGTTGAAATTGAGTGGGTTTCAATCTTATACATTCTTATTAATTCATTTTTGTTGTTGTTAACTGCTGTTGAATTGGTCCCCACTCATAGTGACCCTCTATAGGGTATTTAAGGAGCAGCTGATAGGTTTCAGCTGTTGACCTTGTGGTTTGCAGTCCAGTGCTGATCCTATAGTGCCACACTAGTTATGTGTTAGTGATATAAAATGAATCTACAACAACTGCTAAGTACACTTCTGTACTGAAAGATGATGTACACATTTCATGTTTGTATGTTTATCTTTCTCTCAACACAAAGTTTACCAATTATGTGAAATTACTTATAATTGACTGCTTTAAAGAGATGTTTTCAGAAATGACTTTATGAATTTAAGAGCCTGATATTGGGTCTGAAGTATTTTTGAGCATTTCCTTCATTATCTAAGACCTAATTTCTAGTGGGAAGAATGGGATAGCTTTCCCTGAGATATGAAGGTGATCAGATGGTCTCTTAGAGGAACATTTGGGGATATCCCAATAAAGCAGGTAGCTGTGGGAGAGCTGAGAAGTGAATCTATATGATCAAAGAAAATGTCAGAATAGTATTTGGGACTTAGAAACTAAGTTTAGCTGAATCCTTCAAGATGAAATATTTTAGAAGATATTGTAGCTCCAAGTGTTCAAATGATTTCTAAAAATAATAAACAAAAGATTCTTATAACTTGTGACCAAACTTGAAGAGCTATGAAAATGAAAGAAGTCAAGTGAATGGATATGATCCCGTGTGTTACATGAGTAGAGAGACAGCATGGTTTAGCAATAGCTTCTGTTTGCCTGAGCACACACTTTGTGTTAGGTGCTCAGTTTACACCCACATACACTAACATATTTAGTCTGAACATAAAACCTGCAGGGTAGTATTATACCCATTTTCAGGTAAGGAAATGAGGATCAGAGACTTCATTATCCTCTTTCCAGGGATTAGCACAGTGCCAGCATATTGAGGATGTTTAAATTAAAAAAAAAAAAAATTCATTTGAGCAAGGTCTAACTTGCCCAAGTAAATATAAGAACTGAGATCTAAATCCAGATCTATCTGATTCCCAAAGCTGTCTATTTTCACTGGTACCTAGATTTGATATTACACTTTCACGCCAAACAGGCTATGCGATTTAAACATGTTATAAACTCTCTGTACTTCATTTTCTTTATCTAAAAAATGCGGCATTTGGACCAATAGCTAATGTTTTTAGAATAAAATTCTCCTTTACATAATTTTCCTTTAAGGCATCTATTTTCCCTTTCAAAGTGAAATACCAGTTCCTTTTTTTTTGACTGATATATTCTACCAATTCCAAATTTTCACAGAGAAAAACTAAATGTAATTGAAATATAGATTCTGACAAATTGGATATTACACGTATTTGTACAAACCATAGGTGATATCATGTTTTGCTATAACATTAGCTTGTGAGAAGTGAAAACTCAGATCCGTTACTGATCTCCCAAATGTATGAATATTCCAGAATATTTGCAGATAAGCATTTCTAAATATTTGTTCATGTATGGTTCATTATAAAATCATAAATGTGGGGGTGGAATGGAAGTACTCTGTAAAAGGCATTTCTTTCTTTTTCTTCCTTCCTTCCTTCTTTCCTTCCTTCCTTCCTTCCTTCCTTCATTTCTTTAATTTTCTGTAGAGCAGGTTCTTAATCATTAATTTGATAATGTGTTCAGAACCTTTTATTTATAGCACACTGTATTAGCAATACCGAGTGCATCAAGATGAATGAGGCATAGTTCTGGTCCTCAAAGAGCTCACTATCTCATGGAACAAAAAAGGCCTGAGCACAAGGCAAAATATAGTAATTGCATAATTGTTGTTGGTTGTTAGTAAGTGCCATTGACTTGGTTCTGACCCTAACAACCCTGTATAGGGTTTCTGAGGAGCAACTAGTGAGCTTGAACCGCCAACCTTGCAGTTCAAACCAACTTTGAAGTCCAGCACATTAACCCATAGTGCCACACCAGGAACAGATGATTGCTAATGAGGATGAGGTGATTTTAAGACTTCTAGCCTTAGTAAGTGGCAATATAATATGTTACTAAATATAGGGACTTGAGAAACAGAAGTATAATTAGGGAACCAAATTAGTTTCTTTTTTCTTTTTTAGTTTACATTTTAGGAACAGTATGACACTGCATGGTTTAAGATCAGGAAAAGTATGTGTCAGATGTGTACCCTTTCACCATTCTTATTCCGTCTGTACAATCTGTATGCTAAGCAAATAATCTGAGAAGCTGAACTGTATAAAGAAGACAGCATCAGGATTGGTGAAAGACTCACTAACAACTTGACATATGCAGATGACACAAACCCTCACAATTGAACCAATAAGCAATATCATGATATTGTCCCAGATTTCATTTTACTTGGATTCATAATCAATGTCCTTGGAAGTAACAGTCAAGAAATAAAATGTATTGCTTTGGTCAAATCAGCTGCAGAAGATCTCTTTAAAGTGGTAAAAATCAAAGATGTCACTTTGAGGACTAATGTGTGCCTGACCCAAGCATGACCCAATCACCTCATATGAATGTGAAAGCTGGAAATTGAGTAAGTAATACCAAAGAACGACTTATGCATTTGAATTATGATGTTAGCAGGATTGTGAGACTCAGTTTCATGAACTTTGAGCATGTTATCAAGAGGGCCAGTCCCTGGAGAAGGATGTTATGCTTGCAAACGTAAAGGGTTGGTGAAAAGAGGAAGACGTCCAAGAGATGGACTGATGCAGTGACTGCAACAATGGCCTCATGCCCAGAAAGGATTGTGAACACAGTGTAGTACCAGGCAGTGTTTCATTTTGTAGTACATGGGATCAATATGAGTAGAAACCAACTCAACACCACCTAACAACAACCACAATTACATTTTCCGGAAGGTTTTGAGAAAACACATTGGGAGATCCTTGTAATTTCAGGCACAGAGGTGTCTATTTTGTAGCATCCTTTCATTAGTGTCAGTATACCGTGAGAATGAAATTTCTCAGAGAGAAAGTTTAGAGTAGGAATAAAAATATTGTTGCTGTTAAGTGCCGTTGAGTCGGTTCCGACCCATAGAGACCCTGTAAAGGATTTCCAAGGCGTAGCTGGTGAGTTTGAACTGCTGACCTTATGGTTCAAACTGACTTTGCAGTCCAGCACATTAACCAAGAGCCCAAAAATAGAAAGTGCAGGCACAAGTATACAAACGGAAGAAGCAGAATAAAAGAAGCAAATGAAAGAAAACCCAGGAAGCAGCGATAAAAAGAGAGCTATGTATTTATGGAAAAGTTTGACATCTGAAGAGGATGTCTGAAGAATCAAAGAAGTCTAAAAGATAAAGAGTAAACTCATAAAGGGAGCACATGTGAGATGGGGGTATATCTCAACTGCTAGTTGACAGGATGGAAGCACATCACAGATTGATGAGGGGGTGGGGTTTTGCATGCTGCCAGTCCATTTCCATGGGATATCACATCCCTCCACCCAGTACTATCCTCTACCACCACTACCCTGGTCCACATAGCAAGTGGAAGGAGAGTACACCAATGCACCAAGGTGCCTGATCCATCCCCACCTGCCAAGCTACCAAGCAGTGGTAAAGGGTGCTATGCTATGAGCTGCCCACCCCACCCCTCACCTATAAACCTGCCATATGATGGAAGAGTCCACCCATATGCTCAGCTTCCTTTAAAACTGCACAATGCCCTGCACAATGCCCACCAACCCACCAATGGCTGGAAGAACATGCCTGTTCTCCGGCTGCCCATCCCTCTAGTCTGACAACCAGTGATGTGCTATCCCATGCAACTGGACTGGTAGATGCACAACCCCACCCCCAGCAATCTGTAATGTGATTCCATGCTGTCAACTAGCAGTTGAGGTATACCTCCATCTCACATGTGCTCCCTTTGTGACTGGTGACCTGCAGTTCCATGCCACTATTCTGCAACAGGGGGCAGAGCACACACACACACTCCAACAACCAGCAGTATGAGCTCCTGTGCCTCCTGTCCAGAGACCAGTGACCCATGTACCTTTATTCTGACCACCTGGCAACTAATGAAGTGTAGTTATAGCATCCTTAACCCAATGACTGACGAGAGCATACACACCCAGTAGCCGGCTTGACTTGCACATCACCTCATAAACAACATCCATCACATGCACAGAAGTACCATTTGTGCATGTGATAGAACCTCTGCCTTATGACAAGCAGGAGTTTCTAGTGCTTACATACATTTTTCTGGCTGCAATCCCACACACAGATGTTCCAGCAGGTCTACTGCACAGGCAATGAAAGTCTTTGTTCCCCCATTATCAGCTGAGATACTAAATCATGGATGCACAGAGGATCTATGCCAACCATTTGGGAAGCACTCCCTTAGAGGGGCTACAGAAACAT